ATGTAAAATCTCAGTACAAAAAGTTTTCAAGATGTTTTGGCTTTCCAGAAAAAATTTTAAATGAAGTTTTAGAAGTTTTTACTTGTATCTATTTTAGTGACTATATTAATGAATTGTATACATGATTTCATTTACCGATGTCACAAAGCCGACCTGCGTAACCTGCGAAGCATACACAGCTGAAAGAGTCAATATTATCAACACAGTTGCCATGGATACAAGGACTGCTTTCACACTCGTTGATTTCTGTTGGAATAATTTTGTGTAGCAATTGTTTTAAGTCAGTCATTTATTTATGCATTTAATTCAGGTTTGAAAAAAATAATGGGCCTTTCAAAGACGCCATCCAGGTTGACAAACACTGATTTCACTATCTTAAATTAGCTAATAATGCAGAATGTGTAGAGGTACCTGTTTCACAGTTTATACCCGTCCAGGCAGAGGGACAACTGCATACATAGCCATTCAGTATATCCTGGCAAGCACCACCATTCAAACAAGGTGAACTTGTACACTCATTGGATTCTGAAACAATTAGTATTTATTTTAATATATATTTAATTAATTATTTTGTTTAAAATTAGGTTTGAGAAATGATGTATTTATTGTTAGACATTTTAGTGTTTATTATCTTTATCAGAATACAAATAATGTTTATTCAAATATAGGATCAGTTCTGTTAATTACGGTGACAATATACATGTATATGTAAACAGTTGTTAAATTCCTTCTAATGAAGGAAGATCTTATTAACCCTTACAGCACCTTAATTTTTATAAAAATGCACATTTTTTACAATTTTTTTTTGGTAATATTATGAAAGTTACACAAGTTTATTTTTTGTTTAAAGGTTGACTTAGGTTAATATTTACATTTCATGCATTAGTTTAGTATATTAAGTTTGGGCATATAGACCCTCTAACAGAGAGGATCTATGGTTTGGGGTATTTTGGTTACCAAATTGGCACAGAGTTCCTTCATATCCTGGTACACATGCGCAAACAAAACTTCCAATGTGATCAACACATGTGCCTTCATTCTCACATGGCTGGTCGTGACAATCATCAATATCTATAACAGGCAAAGGAGGGATATGTGTTAAAATGTCCCAGCATGCATCACTGCAGTGACAGGAAGTAAACTATAACTAATAACCATTCTGAAGTATTAATTAGAAGTATTGGACATTTGGTTTTCACCTATTTCACAGTAGAGACCAGTGAAGCCTGTGTTACATTGGCAAACATAGGAATCAATTCCATGAATACACACTCCATTGATACAGGGAAAGCTCTGACACTCATCAATGTCTGTGTAGTGGACAGATACAACATGTTATGCTGGAATACTGAATAGTTATGATAATTTGACGAATGGATCTGGATGAATTTATGATTGACGAACTAATTTGTATGAATTTATCATTAATTAACTGGATTTAAGTATTATATCTAACAAAACAGAATTGGTTTACAAAATAATTTGATCTTTTTACCAATGTCACAATTCACTCCTGTGTAACCAGGGTTACAGATGCATCTGTAAGAATTGATGTTATCAACACAGTTGCCATAGATACAAGGACTGCTTTCACACTCATCAATATCTGTTGGAATGATACAATCATTACAATACAATTGGAGAAAAAGAACTGTTTACCACAACTATGAGAAGTATCGAAAATATTGGTTAGAACAATAATTAGTTAATTTAAAATAGCAAATTTTGTGACACATAATCAAGGGTAATCCTAATTCCAGATTCTAACATATTAAAACATGCTATGACAAGACAGTACCTATTTCACAATTGACGCCTGTCCAACCTGCCAGACACTGACAACTATAACGATTCAATTTATTAAGACAACCACCGCCATTCAAACATGGTGAACTATCACATTCGTTGATATCTGAAAGTAAAGTATTATAGATAAAATTTCTCCCAAGAAAGGAATCAAAATAAAGAATTAAATATTAACCTGGTTTGAATTTGACACATCAAAGCAATTGAATAATTCTGGTAATCATGGAGATATCTAGTGTTAGGGTGCACAATAATTAGAGTAATTATTTTCAGTCAATTTTCACAAAAACATTATTTGTATTTGTTACCAATATCACAGTTGCGCCCTTCATATCCAGGGTTACAGTCACAGCTGTAGGAATTAATATGATCAGTACAACTGCCATGGATACACGGGTTGCTCACACATTCATCAATATCTGTTGAAATAATGGTACAAATGTATATGACGAAGTGAGAAAAATTATGTTTATGCTGTCTGGTACATAAATATGAAATGTTGTTGTAGTTATCACATCTATAGGAAGTATGGGCAGGACTAATGGCAGGAACTAACACACAGGACCTAACACACAGTATGTCACTAATGTGTTAAATGTTTAATTCAAAACAAACACAAAAAAGGTGAATATAATCAATGTGACAAATTTGATATTATCAAAATGCTTCAGTAGGTACCTATTTCACAGTGGATGCCTGTCCATCCTGAAAGGCACTGGCATGTAAACATATTCATGCCATTCTGACAGACTCCATCATTCAGACAAGGAGAACTATTACACTCGTTGATGTCTGCAAATAAGACACAATGTATTTCTAACTTAAAACATGCTGTAAACACCATGTGACAAGTGTATATGAATAACATCACTACAGATGAATTAATATTTCAAATTATACAACATATAAAAACACACTCTAGAACATATAGTCTATTGTGGAAGATTACAAATCAAGAAAATAAAACTAGTAAAGCAGAAAACCCAGGTATTATTTAATCTGATGGCACTGGTTTAAATTCCTTTCTTAGACTCTATGCAAACACAGCTACATAACATTTTGATTTTCACAGCATAAGGCTACTACAGATGCAACCAGGATGCTACCAGGGATGTATAAAAATAACAGCAAGACTTCATATGATGGTGTCATAAATCTGGGAGCAATCTGATATTCATTCGTTTCTACCATGTGTATTAGACTATTGCAACTTTATAAGTATAAACATTAACTGTGTGTTTAAGGTGCAAGTGTGCAAACCTATTCAGTTCAATAGATTAGATAATGGAATAATGAGTTCTCATTACCAATGCCACAAGTCACTCCTTCATATCCAGGATTACAGACACATGTGTAAGAATTGATATTATTGACACAGTTGCCATAGAAACAAGGACTGCTTGCACACTCATCAATATCTGTTGAAACAATTTTGTCAGAATTAGATTATATCTCACTTGCATGGGACAACCAAGAAAAAGAAGTGAACCTGACAATCCATTCATTTTTGTGAGGTGGAAATGAAAAACTTCAATACAAAAAGTACAAGAACATGGTAAAACAATAGACAGGTGCTTGTAAGCATGGTCAATTCAATGTGAGCAAGATATATATGGACATCAAGGCATATAGCCGAGAAGTGATGTTTCAAAAATAGCTCATTCCTTTCCACATATCAACCTAAAAGGCAGTGATAAATATTAGTAAACGGTTTTCTTGAAATTACTAGTTGTTGTCCAGCTAAACTTAGTTGTTTTAGATAGTATAGGTACCTTGTATATTAGTACATTTTTTTTCTAGTCAATAAAACAAATGGCTGAAAAAAGTTTATCAATGTATTATTATAAAAAAAAAATGTTCTTTTTACCAATGTCACAATTCACTCCTGTGTAACCAGGGTTACAGACACAATTGTAAGAATTGATTTTATCGACACAGTTGCCATAGATACAGGGACTGCTTGTACACTCATCGATATCTGTTGGAATAATTCATCAGTGTATAGATTAAACGGTATTGATATCAATTGCAAAACATACTCTGAAACAAAACATTTACTATATTTTTTGATGTTTTGAAAAATAAAAATAAATTGCCAAGACAGAATGAAACATTGTGAGAAATATACAATCTTTAGAATATTTAACTTCATTTACAAAAATAAGCATTCTTCAATGCATAAACAAGTATCTTATTATTGTTGAATAGACACTTTAAATTAGTAATGTTGATGACATGGTCACTAGAGTATAAAGGTTATTTCAATGAAAGACTTCATAATTCGTTAATGGTTAATTTAAAATCTACATCTACAAATAGTTATAACCACTTAACAAACAGCATAATCTCCTTGTTTTGTTAATTTTGGACCAAATAATAACAACTTCCCATTATCTACAGGGATTGATCAAAACATTTGAAAAATATTAAAACAATTATGCAGGTTTATTTTGTGAAAGAGGACAAAATCAAATGCTGGTGTTTAATGGATTAATAATTATATTTTTAGTAAAATCCTACATAAATCCATTAAGTGACTTTTATAATACTACAAGTTTTCACTTAACCAATTTATTTCTGAAATAAGATTTGTTCTCTTTACCAATGTCACAATTCACTCCTGTGTAACCAGGGTTACACACACAATTGTAAGAATTGATATTATTGACACAGTTGCCATAGATACAGGGACTACTTGCACACTCATCGATATCTGTTGAAATAATTCAATGTGATTTGAATAAATATAATACAATATATTTGAGTGCAACCAAGTCACAATACCACATAAACAGCAGTAGTAGACAACATCAATAAACAGCAGTACCAAGGACCAACAAGAATACTTCAAAGACATATATATCAAACACTAATTAATGATCAATCAATCAATCAATCAATCAATCATCAATCAATCATCAATCAATCAATCATACATCAGTCTAATCAGTGTTAGGTTAAATATATGTTTAAGTTGATGAGCAGTGAATCCTTACTAAATTTGTCAATGTTTGAAATTTATTTTCCATGGTGAGATGTTTAATAAAACAGTTTTTATTATTAAGTAGTTTAGTTTAAAGAATAATTTGTTCTTTTTACCAATGTCACAATTTACTTCTGTGTATCCAGGGTTACAGACACAATTGTAAGAATTGATATTATTGATACAGTTGCCATAGATACAAGGACTGCTTGCACACTCATCGATATCTATTGAATTAATTAAAATAAAATTACTGATATATTTGACACATTAGAAACATGTGACAGAGAGTGCTAGGTGGGACTATGAATTGCACTACAATAAACTAATGTCATTTTCCCAAAGGACACAAAAAATGGAACAAACAAAAGGCAAAATTTTCTTTAGATTCTTTAAAATTCTGAGCAAAATTTTAAAATTTAAAATTCTACAAGTGGAACATTTTAAACTATGATTTCAAAAATACAAAACAAAGGTACACACAAGTGTTTATGCTATGAAATTGGAAAAATTGAGAAACTGGAGAATGGAAGAGCAGAGAATGACTAATTTGCATAATCATTTACCCAGTTCACCTGTTATTAACAAATTACCAGTCATTAAAATAAATAAAATGGCTATAACACTTGTATCAGTAAACCAATAAACGTATTGTAAAAGATTATGTTTAGTAAATGATATAGTTTTGATTTTTACAAATAATATCAGAGCATTAGAAAAATAATAAATATTTTTTTATTGTCTTTAATAACTCAGTGGTTTTGTGCATGTGTGAAAATAGGAAGGCAAGACTATTTATATTTGAAAACATCAAACACCAATTATCTTCTCTAAGTGTTCATAAACCTATACTAAGGTGAAGTGCAGGTATTTATTTGCAACTAGGAATACCACACTGTAATGGTGATTAAAGTTTAATGTTTGACATTGTATTCAAGTAAATGGTCTGTATTAGTATTAAATCTACATTTATACAAACACAATATCTTATAGAATTCTACAATTAGTATATTTCTGTCTTAGTAAGTATTTCCAATCAATCAAATAAACATATTTATTAGTTGATGCACAGTGAATTCTAACTAAATTATATATCATGTTACTTATTATTCAATAGTGAGATGTTTAGCTCAAAACAGTTTTGATTAATAAGTGGATTAGTTTG